GAATTTTACAAGAAATTAGCAAATTTAAGTTTAATTTTTTTTTAATATGAAAATGAGGAACTAACCTAATTCCGACAACTTTGAAGTCCTCTTCGAGTGATCGATTGATATACTTCTGAAAATCGAAATTAGCATGGCTTTGGGGTGCAAGGTGTGCCTGATCGAATTATTTTAATAATATATTAATTCAAATTTAATCAAATGAATAATCTCAAGTTGAATAATAAAGAATAATTAAATGGAAAATTTTCTATATACCATGATAAACCCGTGCCGTAGAGTCAAATAATCGACTTTCGGAACCCTAGCAACCCACGCTCCCAGTCGCCGCGATTGTAGTCACTTACCCACTTTGGGAAAATCTAGATCTGGCATTTAAACCCAAATCAAGCAAAAATCTTTCAAAACACAAGGAAATCAGATCCAATTGATTAGTCAAAATATATACTTTTCATAACACCTCAACCATATTCACAGCCCCCACCCGCCGTCGCCGCCTCCGGCGGCGCCGCCTTCACCGGCCGCCGTCGTCGCATCCACCCGCCGCCGCAGCCTCCACCACAGAGATCCACTGCCCCTGCTCCTGCCTTGGTGCAACTACCGGGAACAAGAGAAAGATAGAGATGAGAGAAAAAAAACGAGATGAGAGAAATTGTGAAAGATGGAGAACGTGTGAGAGAGAACGCCTGAGAGAGAAAAAACAAAAAGAAGATAAATAAATTTTAGGGTAAATTACAAGCACCCCCTGAGGTACAATCAAATTACAAAAACCCTCTTCTTGTTTGGATAATTACATCTACCCACCTCAACTATGATTTTTTCTTACACCTCCACCCTTATGGTGCCAAATTCAACATAATCATCTAGATTCCGTGAAATGTGCTCTAGTTTGTACTCGTTTTGTGTAAAAATACAGTTTCCGATACAACACAAACTGATATATACAAGCTAAAAATCATATATTATGATCATCTTGTTTCATAATGTAGAGTTTGAATGGGATAAAACGGGTACAAAAGTGATAATATTCCATATAATCTCGAAGATTCCACCTAATTTGAGGAGTTGAGGGGGTGGTTGTAATTATCCAAACAAGAGGGGTGTTTTTGTAATTTGATCATACCTCAGGAGGGTGTTTGTAATTTACCCTAAATTTTAATTGAACGTGAATGTCTAGGTTTATAAGATTTAGGGTATAAGGGCAAGATAGGGATTAAAAAAAAAAAGGAATATGGCTCATATATTATTTCAAACTAAGAATTTAATTAAAAGATTGAATTTGGACTTATTATTTAGTTCAAATTAGATTTCCTTTGAGGGGCTTATGGCATATTAACCCTTAATTATTTGCTTTTAACAATGAACAAATTAATAGATTTCTTTTGATGATATGATTTGTTTAGCGGAGTGGTTGAAGGCCCTCCCCTTCAACAACCTAGCTCGCTGACTTTCTCATTGATATTTTGTGAATTATATATATATATATATATATATATTTTGTTGTACGTACCTCCACTACAACACTAATAATCATCAATACAGGAATTTACATAATGAAGCACTCTTTTGGTGGAGGATTTGATATATATGTAATTTTGTCAAACACATAACTACTTCACCATGTCAACAACTCCATCTTACAAAATTAATTCTCTCTCTCTCTCTCTCTCTCTCTCTACATATATATTTAAGGGCATGCATGCACACATCTGAAGCTCATATATATATATTCTAATAACATCAAACAAATAAATCAAATCAAAAAAGAAAAGCGAAAAAAAAAATACTCGATCCAAAATGTCAAAGCAATCATCACCAAACATTAATTCCGTAGCAATAATAATATTGGTATTGGCAGCCATCACTTTATTAGCAACAAAGACAGCAGCAGTTGAGCCAGCAGCGCCGGTAGCACAAGTCCTGGAGCTATTCATGCACGACATTCTAGGCGGCAGTAACCCCACCGCGAGACCCATCACCGGCTTATTAGGTAACATCTACAGCGGCCAAGTCCCCTTCGCCCGCCCCCTCGGCTTTTTCCCCCCTAAAGGCGGCGTAGCCATTCCCAACTCCAATGGCGCAATCCCCACTATCAACCCTAACGGAATCCCACTCGGCACCGGCTTAATCGGTACAGCTTTTGCCGGCACCCCAAATAGTAATAGTAATAATAACATAAACTCGGCGCAACTAGGTCCCGACGGGTTGGGGCTAGGGTTTGGGACAATTACGGTGATTGACGATTATCTGACGTCAGCGCCGGAATTGGGGTCGCAGCAACTGGGGAAGGCGCAGGGTGTGTACGTGGCGAGCTCCGCAGACGGGTCGACACAGATGATGGCTTTCACGGCAATGATGGAAGGAGGTGAGTTTGGGGACACCCTTAATTTTTTCGGAGTGTACAAGATTGGGAGTACGATGTCGAGGCTGTCGGTCACCGGTGGGACCGGTAAGTTTAAGAATGCTTGCGGATTTGCGGAGGTCAGGTCTCTCATTCCGGCCGGCCAGCATGTTTTGGACGGCGTCGAGACCTTGCTCAGGATCACTGTCCATCTTACTTACTGATCCATATATATATTGTTTTGTTTTGTTTCGATTTGTTTTTTGTGCTTGTTCAATACTAAGGATTCTTGAATTATTATTAATTTGTGTGTTTGCTGTTACAACGAAATATAGTGTCATGGTTATTAAATTCTTACGATTTACCATTCGATTCATCCAATTATATATTTCAAGTGTTCATTTTTTATTTAAATATCAAGGGAAATAAAAACCAATTCAAATTTTTAAGATTCATTGCGATTTTATGTATATTCAAAACTTATATGTCCTTAATGACAAAAGTACCCCGCCATATTTAATGTTCTCCACATTGGTTTTAAAACATGATATAGAATAAATTTTGAAAAATTGCGAAGCTCAAAAGTTGTAGATTATTAGGTCGACTTTCAACAACTTGAATCGGTGCAATCAGAGTTTCTGAGATCATGAAATTTGCATTATAATGATTTTTAATTTGAATTTCACAAATTGCAAACATGATCAATAGAACTTGTTCTTGTCTTTACGTCAAAACTACTTGATTCAGCCAGATTTGAGTAGAATATGTTATGGCCTAAAATCCTATGTATCACAAAGATTAAGATCCAAATAATCCAACCGGAGTTCGTACACCAAAGTTATAATAAAAACCAAACATGTACTAAGACTACGTATTCGTAATGTCGTCGGCAATAAGAATATGAAAGTAGTATTAAATACTCTTTTGACTTGGATTCAAATAAAACCTCAAAAAACACAAAGCTCCTAAGTTGTAAAAAGTTATTGTCTTCTTTCTAATGCAATAAATCAAAGAAATATGAAAGTTTATTGCAACTTGAATTAGTACAATCAAAGTTCAAATTAGACTTATATATGGGCAAAATAGAACAAGCTAGTAGTGAAAATACGAAAATCTTAGTGTCCGTTAGATAGTAAGATGACTAAAAAAATAGATAAACGAAACAAAATAATACAGTACTTATGTGAATAGATTAATAATCTAATCACAATTTAAGAAAAATAATATATTTAGTTGGGGTTCTAGCTAGAAGAAAGAGTCCTTTAGGGAAATGTATTTGAAGAAATAATTTAGAAACTGAAATCAATTTTAAATTCATCATCATAATTAGTTCTTATATGTAACGGTTTCGACGTCAGTGTATGTTGCAGTAGAAGCAAGTGACATCATCAATATGCCTTGTTTAACTTCCCCTAACGTCATCACCTCTCAAAAAAGTCTTCATATCACATGTTCTTTGTGTACACTCATAACTAATTCATACCAAACTCTAAAACTCTCTCCATTTTCCCATCTCTCTCTCTCTAAAACCAGCATCACCCAAAAAAAAACCCCAAACACATAGAACATACACAATTAATAAAAAAAAAAAAAAAACCACCACCACCATGGACCCCGAACCACCATCACTTCCACCACCTCCACGGACACGTACTTTCTCCACCATGATAGCCAATCCTCCAACCACCACCACCACCACCACCGCCATAATGGCTCACGAACAACCACCACCACGGCATCCACGTACCTTCTGGAGTACTCATCCGGTGCACAAAAGCATAGCAAGTGCGGCCAACCTAGCAAACCTACTACCCACAGGCACAGTACTCGCCTTTCGAACACTAACCCCATCATTTTCCAACAATGGAATTTGCCAAATATCGAACAAATACATGACATCATCCCTCGTCGCCTTCTGCTCGATCATATGCTTCCTCTCTTCGTTCACCGATAGCTTTACGACAGACGACGCTGATGGTAATAAGATCATGTACTACGGCATCGCCACGTTCAAGGGTTTCTACATTTTCAATCAGGACAATACTACGAGAGACGACAAAACGATGGTGGATCAGTTGGAAGAAGAAGAAGAGAAAAAAGCTAATAGAGAAGATTTATCGAGGTTTCGGATAAGTATGATCGACTTTGTACACGCGTTTGTTTCTTTGTTTGTGTTCTTGGTGTTTGCATTATGCGACCGTGATGTACAAAACTGTTTCTTTCCTTTTGGAGGAGTGAATTTGGATGAGCTTGTCATGAATTTGCCATTGGCAGCTGGCATTTTCTCCAGCTTCCTTTTCATCATCTTCCCCACTACTCGTCGTGGGATCGGAATTGCAGACATGCCACCTGCACCCAAGTTCAAATGATTATATATATATATATATATATATATATATATATATATATATATATGTCGTGTGTGTGTGTGTCTTGATCGTTTGTATTGATGTACAACTGCAATTTACCGTTTTTAGACATGTATATTTTTGCAACATATTAAAACATCTCCAATCAAAGTTTATTTTATAGCGCATTTGTGTTGGTATAAATAGTAACAAGCAAGTTCACGTATCGCAAACAAATAGTGAAAGTGGATTCGAGAGAGCCGCATATATGTAAATCCCATATGAAATACTTAAAATACCTAATTCTAAGTAACAAATTCTAACAACTATTATTTTTATCCAGTGTATGCAAGTTTGTCAAGATATTCCGATCTAAATTATTAGACTAGCTAAGAAAGCAAATAAACACAAGAAAATATTTATTAAAAAGGACCTAAAAATTCTATCTTCCCCTATGCGATAATTCTTCACTCAATTAAACCTCTATCATGCAAAATAAACTCCTGATCATTAACTCGAGACGCTAAAGTACTCATAACCCGTTGTTGTGTGTATTATAAGTATATTATTCATAAACAATTCAGTACTATATGTCTATGCAAACCAATTACGAATAAAACATTACTAAAATGTCTCATAAACGGCTACCTAAGGTGATATCTGTATGTTTACGATACACCAAATGCAATTAACACAGTAATCCGGTGATGACTACTCAAAGGCTCTTCTATCCTTGTTCTAATTATTAAAACGATATGTCGATTCAATTTTAACAATAACACATAGTAACATAAATTAGCTAGATTCATGCATTAAATAAGATCAGATAGAAGAAACAATTAGGGAATTAAACTTGCATAATATTAGAAAAATAGGTTCAAAATTACCACATATGGTTCAAACAAAATCTTGATTAAAAGGTTTAGCTACTCGTGTTCTTAAGCGAAAAAAAACATAAAAATAATAACATACATAGATTCAGAAAAGAGAAATAAAGGAGGAACTATGAAGAATATTTGTCAGGTCTTCGTCTTCGATTCTCTGTTCTCTTGCTCTTCTTGCTCTAAGATTGTGTAAAAGTCCTCAAATTCGTGCTTGTATTTGCCCTTAAATAGATGCTCCAATTTGGTAGAAGATCTGGATTTCATTGTGCAATTAAAACTGAAACACTGCTCTTCGATCCGCGTGTCTTCACACGACCATGTGAGAATAGTTACAAATCTCACACGGCCATCTCAAAATTTTAAAATTTCTGCCAAAATTCAGCATTTCACACGGTCATGTCAAAAATATGCCAAATCTCATACGGCCGTCTTAGGCCAATTTTCAACCTCCTAACATTTTTTCTTTCGTTTTTCCTCGGTTTTGACCTGTTTTTGCTCGTTTCACTCTTGAAATTTACGAATCTTCAAATTGTACCTTAAATACAATAAACAATCATTAAGAACTATTATATCGATAAATATTCCATAAAAATTCTCGTCAGAAAATATAAATTGAGTGTAAAATCTACACTCAACAATTTGCAAATTAAACAATCTTGTATACCTACATATTAGAAAATATATGTCCAGTCTTATTTAATGTGACACCCCTCTCTCGATTACCCTTATTATATGTAATCTCAGCGGAAGACTTTTGAAAACATGATTTTTGTGGATATAAATTTACGTAAATTTTTTTATTTTTAAATCAGAGGGAGAGAGGGCACAGTTTTCTAAACCCTAATCGATCAATTAACACCAATGCATGCTAAATGCAAGACTAGAAAGTAACTAGGCATGATAGACTTAATGCAAATGCGGACAGATTCAATGCAGAAGCTTTAAAAATTAATTCCTCTCAAACTACTCATGAAAATGACCCCAAATTAATACCATACCATTTAACACGGGTCTAGATCACTCAGTTAAAACAGTTTTGAAATATGCATGGCCATTTAGGAGAAATAAATAAAATGGCACAGTCACTCGGTTTGAAATCCAGAACAGGGGAGGGAGTTTTGAAAATTCACAATAAATTCCTCACTAACCCAAAAACTACCAAATTTTACCCCAAGGCAGAAAAATAAGTTTAAAACATTTTCCAAGTAGAAATAAGGCATTTGAGTGAGTAAAACTCCAGTTATACCAGAAAACACCCGTATGGCCCTGTTTCAATGCAGTAGTGCAAAATAAATCATAACTAAATGAATACTTACCCAAATCATGCACAAGACCTATAGAAATGATGAGAACAGAGCGATGCAGAGACTTCTAAAATTTCATGACTTTCTAAGCATAAAACCTATATGAAAATAATTCTAGAACATGGAGACAAAACACGAAGAAATTACTAGCCGAAAGCATGCATGCATATAAATAGTGAAAATTTGCTTTCGTTTACAAAAGACTACGGATTACCGATTAATCATCCAAAATAGGGTAATCCTAATTCCTATTACACATATCGTCTTTTAATAATTCCCACCGATCGGAGGAAGCGAACGGTAGAAAATACCTAAAACCGTATCAAAAGTTTTTACAAGCATATTATACAAATAAAACCACATGACTAGATTAAGAGCCAACACTATCCACAATCCCTCCATACGATCTCCTTCCGATTCTCGAGCTCGATTCCCAACTTCACTCCTCGGGCCCTAAATCGGGTATACCTACAAACATACAACACCTATATGAGCCTTTGAGGACTCAATGAGAATCTTGAAGTATTATCGAATACACATAGCACATAGAGCATACAAATATCTATACATATATATACATACATATATCTTATACATGAACATGCAACATAAAGTAAAACAATCATATACTTCCCTTTTTCGTCGGCGTTCTTCATTCACATAATTGCCACACGCATAGAGTGAGATAATTCCCACTTTTATAACCCTATGATCCCAAGACCATAGAGTGAGATTTTCCCCCTATATCATCAACACCATAATGCAACATGCATGACATGAAAAATTGTCGGGAATCCCTCGGAAGAGCCAATCTAAGTTACCGGTAAATAACCTCATATATATCGAATCATGTCTATCTACGTGGGATCAAACCACCCCTAGGCCCTACGGTACCGACTCGCCGTACCCGGGAAATTTACCGTAACCTCGAAAAACTTTCCAACATAGTTTTATCTTTTAAAAATTCATGACACTAATGCACCCACCCATGCACCCTTCTACTTACCCTTCTCTCATCCTTACACCCAATGATTCACATAAGCAAGCAAGAGCACATAGAAAATACACATAAAATTTCACAAAAATCTTTAGTCATAAAAACATAGAAGTAACCGAAATCTTAACATGCAAAGACAATCTAACATCAAAGTTCACTAGATCTAGCATTTTTACAAGAATAAAATTCAAGACTTCCATCTTTACATTTATTCAAGTAAATACACTAGATCTTTACATGCAAGAGTATTTTAAATCAAGTTAGCACAAATCCTTAGTTCTTTAATCATTTTTCATAGAAAACACTAGATCTTAACATGCAAGGTTTTAGATTAACCATCAGTCACTAGATCTTAACATGAAAGACCTTAGATCAACAATAAATCACCAATCTTACATGCAAGGCCTTAAAACAACAATCAACACAAGTTCAACACATGCAAGATACCAAATAAGCCAAATAAGCAAGTTTAAGCATTTTCCCCAAAATTTCGAAAGTTCCTTAGCTAAGTCAACAATTCAATTTCTTTTCACAATTAAAAAATCAAACACTAGATTAACATATGCAAAACACTAATTAAGCCAAATATGAAATTTTAAAACATTTTTCCCCAAAAATTCGAAAGTTTCATGGCTAGGCCAAAAATTCATTTTCTTTTCAAAAATCAACAATCAAACACTAGATCAACACATGCAAGGCACTAATTAAGCCAAATAAGCCATTTAAAACATTTTTCCCCAAATTTTCGACAAATCATAGAACTTCAAGAACAAAGTTATCTTTTCAAAACACTAACATGCAATCATCATCTAAAACATATAATCACATAATATGCAAGAACAAACAATGAAAGCACATAAAAACACATAAAAACCGAAAATACTAGTGGTGTTGTAGGTTTGAGCAAGAATTCAAGAATTCTCACCTATACTCTTTAGGGGAAGGATTTGTTAGCTCTTTTCTCTCTAATACAAGAAGAGATTAAGAGTTAGATTAGGCATTAAGAAAATAAGAAGAAAAACAAAGGAACTTTAGAGGAAGAAGAGCTTTGCTCTTTCGGGAAAGAAGAAGGAAGAAGAGGGAGGAGAAGCTTACTCCTAAGCTTGGCCGAAAATTCTCCTCTTGTTGAAATAGAAGGAGACCTTAAACTTATAGTTAGTGAGATTGGAAGTGGAGAGTGTATTTTGATCTTGGGCATTGGATGTATTTATATTATTTTTGGAGAGTTCAAAGCCAATGGAGAAGAAAGGGAAATACATCTTTTTGTGGGGGGTGATTTTGCAATTTTCGAAAGTATGAGGTGGTGGTGGTTCTAGGGTGGTTCAAGCTTGAGAAGGTGGTGGCTATGGTGGTGGTGGTATGGCTGCCGAAAAATGAAGGGGAGGGGAAGAAGAAAGGACTTTTGGCCTTAAAGTGGTGTGTGGGAGTGGAAAAGTATACCTAGGCTATAGAGTAGGGGGCTAGCTTTTAGGTATTTCTTTCTATGCTCAAAGTACAACCACACCAATGCATGTCTAATACTAATTAATATGCAATTTAAAAATCATGTGTCTGTGTGTGTGTGATGTCCGAAAATTCAAGAAAATGTGGGGAGGATTTTCTAATTTTCGACATTAATTAAAAATCCTAAAATGCATGATAAAAATTTATTTTCTAAAATTTTGTGCATGCATAATATGATGAAATGCTCATTTAAATTCATATGCAAGAATAAAATCCTAATTCATGAAAATAATTTATTTCGAAATAATATCTCGAAATATTTCCTAAGCACATAATTCACACAATCACATAATGCACACAATAATTAACATAATCACTTAATTCACGTAAATA